AATGTTATGTGAGGAAAATAATGTGCATATGCATTATTTATGCAAGAATTGCCATGTATTTGCTGTCACAGAACAGATAGTCCAAATGAGCTAGTCATATGAATAATAACTCATGGAACCCATTTCAAGGAAAACCAGTGTTGCTTTGAAAAATTGCATTCAAATCTGTGTACTTGAAGTCAACTAAATATGAAAATCTTAACATTCAATAAATGTTAAGAATAGATTAGGTAGCACTTGAGTCCAAAGAAATATAAAATTCCCCAAATTTGAAAACTGTTTTTATTTTACCCAAATTTTGTAAGATGATAAATTAAATATGTTCAGCATATTGTTTGTTGACATTCTCTCCCCCCCCTCCCCCAGTAAAACCAAAGGAGATAAATAGCAAACTCAGAGAGGAAAGGCCTTTCTGCCCACTCTCCACCCCCAAACAAAAGGATGAAGCTGATGCATGCACTCTGACCCTCAGGAACAGCAGGGATTGTAAACACCTCCCAGCTCAGTTGGACATGCCAGTTCCTCTGGGATGCTCTCCTGGCTGCCACCTTTATCTCCTTTAACCAAAGCAACCCAACAGTTCTATGGCCAGAGCCAAGGACAAAGCAAAGAAATGGGCAAGACAATCATGCCATTTAAATGGTTTAGGGTCTACATTAACCTGCCAGGGCCTTTGAGCGGGGTGACCTGGCTATTAACAGACCAGTGGAAGGATTTTCCCCAATTCCTTTCAGAGAATCACAGAATCAAAGGAGCTGAGTGGATCCATCATGGGAATGAAACTCCTCAGGCTGAGCTGTTTTGACTATGAAAAGAGATATTCCCCAAATGTCATCTCATTGAACAGCATAGGGAATGTTCTTTAGTGTCATCCAGCACTCTGCCTTATGCCCCCCCTTATGTTTTAGGGGTACATAGGAGGGCTATATACTTCGGATAAACCTGTCTATCCATCCTCTCTTCTCCGTCTTGCTTTAATTTTCTATCATAGCCAGTTAGATCTGAGAGCAAGTGAAGTGAGCAAGCAAGTTTCCTAAGACAGATACCCCCTGGTCCAACTGTCTTCAAGAGAGTCAAGGGACTCCATACTGCATGGGGGGTTATAGTTAGGGTTAGAGTTGAGAATCCATATTGTATGGTTACAGTTAGAGGTAGAGGTTAGAGTTAGGGTTAGGGTTTGGGGTACAGTTAGGATTAGGGTTTGAGTAGGGTGAGGGTTAGGGTTAGGAATCCATATTGTGTGGTTATGATTGGGGTTAGTCATTAGATTTAGAGTTTGGGGTAGGGCTAGGGTTAGGGTTAGAGGATATTGTTAGGGTTAGGGTTAGGATTAGGGTTAGGGTTAAGGTTAGTGTTTGGGTTAGGGTTGGGGTTAGAGGCTATTGTTAGGATTAGGGTTAGGGTTAGGGTTAGAGGCTATTGTTAGGGTTAGGGTTACAGTTAGAGGATATTGTTATGGTTAGGGTTTCAGGTAGTGTTAGGTTTAGGCTTAGGCTTAGAGGTTAGATTTAGGTTTATGTTTAGGGTTAGTGTTAGGAATCCATATTCTCTGGTTAGGGTTAGGGTTAGAGGTTATTGTTAGGGTTAGAGTTTCAGGTAGGGTTAGGTTTAGGGTTAAGGTTAGGGTTATAGTCTATTGTTAGGGTTAGGGTTAGAGGTTATTGTTAGGGTTAGGGTTTCAGGTGGGGTTAGGGTTAGAGGTTAGAGTTAGGGTTAGCGTTTCAGGTAGTGTTAGGTTTAGGGTTAGAGGTTATTGTTAGGGTTTCAGGTAGGGTTAAGGTTAGTGTTTAGAATCCATACTGTTTGGCAATGGTACATTGAGACACAGTCTTCATATTGTTTGCAGGGACCTTACAGTGAGTTATCACAATGCGGGTTCCTGGCGGCCTGCTCTTCGTGGTGGGATCACCAGGCTTTCTGCTGACTTCTCTGCCCCTCCATGCCTGTCTAAGCAGCTGAGCCAGGAGGAGTTGTTGAGTCTGATTCTTTAAATGATATGCAGGAACATGGTGCAAATGGCAACATAACTAATGGTATTTACATTTTTGGAGCCAACGTGAGACTTTTTCTCCTCCACAAACATTTCCCAAAGCCCCAAATTTCACCACTGAAAGCACCCCTCGGAGGAATTTCCTAGGCAGCCGAGTTCCAGTTGGAGGAAGCGGAGAAGGTGTTGATGTCAGTTTTTAAAGCAGAAGCTGGACTAGGACACCAAGGGCTACAACATAACAGAACTGCTCCAACCAGAACTCTGGGTGAGCTGTTTTCTCAGGCCTTTTGTCTGTAGGTGTGACAAGAGCTGTTGACACTGGCAGGTTCAACTGTTTGGACCCTAAGCATCCCCCAGCCCTGCCATGGGGCCACAGCCACGTCCGTAAAGGTGGTGATTCAATGTATTTACCCTGGACCGGTTCTGCTAAAGAAACCAATGTCTGGAGGGTCTGAACGATGCCTCCTCACTGAAGGTCCATTAGAAGCCTCTCCTTCCCCTAGATTCTCAGCAGCACACCAGAGAAACTCACACACACCCAGACGCAAGAAGGAAGGAGAGCTTATCACAAAATGCCAACGTTTCCTGAAACTCACCAAAAACCAAGGGAGGCTTGCAAAGGCCTCTCAAGGTATGCGAGCTCCATTGCCACAGCTCAAAAAAGTTCTGTGAATTCGTTGTACCCCAGCAGTCCCCCAAAACTTGTGTTCTCCACATTCCTAGTCAGCTGGCTTGTTGCTTGTCTTTTTCTCATCCACACAGTGACTCATGCCTTAAACTCCCAGACACACACACACACACACACACACACACACACTAGTCTTTGCAAAGGTAGAACCTATTCAGCCTCATAAGGCTCTTCTCAGTCATCCCCTTCCCTGATCAGTTACTGTGACATGCCCCCAAGCAGAAATTGGACTTCCTGAGACTCCATGGTCAGCGGTGTGATCCTCTGGTTTACAAATCATTCATCCTGGACTGTGATTGTCTTAAGAAGGCCCATCTCTTAGTCCTGAAGCTCAGGATGTCTGTTGAACTGAACCGGATACAACCAAAGAAGAAATATGATTTACAATAGAAATTCCAGTAAAGCTGCTCCCCCAGCAGTGTTCCTTGGGTGACAGACTGGCGCCATCACCACCTGTCACTCCAGCCAAAAACCTTCCTACCTATCATCCAATCTGTCACAAACTTCTCCCCTTTTTATCGCCTAGTTTGGGGGCTCATAGTGTCTCACCTGGACTATTTCAGAGGCCTCTCACCTGCTCTTTTATCCAAAAATGTCACCTCCACTCCACTTGCTGAGACGACACTCTGGCCATGTCACTCCATTGCTTAACCCCGTCCCATAACTGTATCTGCCCTGAAGTGGCCCTTCCCAGCCAGTGCTACAGCCCACGGGGAGTTGTGGGGGAGGGGTGAGGGGGGTTGGCATCCATTCTACTCTTGGAGCAGTTGGACAGGACCTAAGATGTCCCTAGAGGTGCTAGTCACAGGCACCTCTGTCTGTTTACCCCCGGACCCAGACACACGTTATTTTCGGAATGCACTATGGCAGTGATGGCGAACCTATGACACGTGTGTCAGAGGTGACACGCAAACTCATTTTTTTGGTTGATTTTTCTTTGTTAAATGGCATTTAAATATATAAAATAAATATCAAAAATATAAGTCTTTGTTTTACTATGGTTGTAAATATCAAAAAATTTCTATATATGACACGGCACCAGAGTTAAGTTAGGGTTTTTCAAAATGCTGACACGCCGAGCTCAAAAGGTTCGCCATCACTGCTCTATGGCATACAGCACTTTGGAAAGGATTTCCCTAAGGAACAAAACCCTACCTGGAACACCCTTCCCACTTCGCTTAGCCAGGCTCACTTGGAATGATCCCTAAGGCTCACTCTGCCCCACCTTAATATTTTGAAAGCTGCTCCAAATTAAGCTGAAAGGGAACTTAGATGAAGACGGATCTTAAACGGGTGTCATTCAGTCAGGTTCATAAAGTCCAACCGAGCAGCGTGGCTCTAAGGCCCAAAAGGTCCCCTAGAGGACTCGGTGTCTGGGTCTGCATTTAGGGTCAGCATAATCACCAGCATTAGTTTTTTCTCCCCATGTACAGATTCTTGGCCACCTGAATCCTGTCTTTTTTCAGAATGAAAATCCTGGATTCTGAAAAGGCTTGTACATCAGGGTTTAGAATCAGAGACAATTTTTGCTTGTTCCTGAGGGTGATGTTTGGAGGAGATAACTGATTAAAATATCTTGGCAACTGTCCCCTCAGGCATTCTTTCTCCTACACCAAGAGCTTTCTGGCTCACGTACCCGACACTTGTCAGATCCAGAGAATGTGAGTGACGAAAAGCAGCCAAGTACACAGAAGCTCAACAAGCAAACACTCCACACGGCGCTGTTGCAGCCATGGCTCTTGGCTTGATTTTATTTATCCAACAAAAATGTACTGACTACCCATCAGGTTATTTTTCTTAATTAGGTCATGTGTTCATGGGTGTTTGCAACACTAGTCTCCATACCTTTCTGTATGTCTGAAATATTTCATAATAACAGAGACTTTTCCAGTTAAATGGCTTATCCATGTTCAACAAAAGCTGAGGGATGAGTCCTCCGGGTCCTTCTTGTTTCGTTGGGAGGTGGCCTTTCACAGGCTGGTGGTCAGATGCTCAGGACACATGCAACCTTTGACGGGAAGGGTTGGTGATTCTCAGTGAATTTCATAGGTATCACGGAACCCACATGGAGCCACCATTTTAATAAATAACTACTGCTATCAATGCCAAGGTTCCTCTTTCCTTCCCACTTCAAAACTCTTCATTCGGGCCCTGGCTGCTATGGATCAGTTGGTTGGAGCATCATCCCGTGTACTGAAGAGTCGGGGGTTTTGATTCCTGGTCAGGGCACAAACCCAGGTGGTAGATTTGATCCCCGGTCAGTGCACAAACGGGAGGTAACTGATAGATGTTTCTCCCTCACATCAATATTTCTCTCTCTCCCTCTCCTTTCCTCTCTCTCTCAAATCAATGAAAACAAAACCCCAGAACTTTCAAACATTCCTATTCTCATAGGAAGAAAGGAAAGAACTTACTTTTCCTTAGAACCATGTGTAATGAGAATCATAATAGTGCTGTTTCCCTCATCAAATGCAATATTCATAGCTGATAGCATAACCCACACAGGGATTCTATACATGTAGACAGAGCAATATCAACCACTCTATTAATTTCATAGGTATCACAGAACCCACACTCACTGCTAGCCTGGGTTATATATATTAATCAGTTAAATGAAACATTTTCACTTCAAATCACCTAACTCTGCAGGAGCTTGCCTTTGAGAACCCACGAAAACATACCATGTGAACAAAGTGGGCCCACTATCACTGAAGCACTTGGTTAATCAGCATTACAATCAGGCATGAGCCAAAAATCATTGCTTGACTATAGCCATGGCCAATAACAGTAAACAGAAACCAACTGTTGAGCTGACGTCCCCTCCCTCCATCATCAGACAGCTGTTTCACTTAGTAGGCCCAAGCTCTCCTCTGTCTTCTCTCTTTCCTTCTTCTACGAATAGGCATGGAAACAACAACAAAAAAGATCGAAGGTTAAACTAAACCGCAGAGAAGAAATGTCACACAAACTTGTAATCAAGCCACCCAAATTCATGAAATTGATCCATGAAAAAGGGCCTTCATCATTCATCCCCCAAGGTTGGCTGTGATTGACAATGTTGAAAAAGAGGTTATGGTGTCTCGCTGGGTACACTCAGCCCTTGGATGAGTCATGAGCAGTAAATAGCCACCCACAATTTCTCTTCTGCCTCTCTGCTGCATCCCTCTTTCATGAAGAGTGAACTGGGAAGGAATTGAAAGAGGATCTAAATAAAAAAAGGAACAGGGCAGATCAACTGATTTCCCTCTGCCTCCTTTTAGCACAGTGTGGGAGTAGATGAAATTAGAATTACATGATTGCAAATTGTGTCTGGATGACTATGCAAGTCATCTCAGTCGTGGCAGGGGGTCGAGACCACCTGGTTCTTAACCCTGCCTGGACACTACCTCTTTGTGTTACAGATAAACAAAAGAGGGGCTCCAAATCCTCAAACAATAGGAACAAGGTCACAAACTACACCTGGAAAGGGTCTCCTACACCCAGGCTCTCATTCTACATACAGCACTGACGCAGTGGCCTGGATACCGTGGGTCCCAGATAGTGGGGTATTTAGGACCCAACCACACTCCCTGGTTCCTCAGTCACTATTACACTGTGTGCTTTATTCTGCTCACTCCAACAATGAGACATGTCCCAGTAAGAAATCCAATCCATCCGTCAGGAACATCTGCTAAACACAAATGTCTTCACAAGTGATGGCAACATGCTGACTCTCAACGATTTGGGATTCGCTATTACCTGTTAATAATACTCTTTATAATGCATTATAGGGTATATAGAATGTATATAAATAGAGCTGTTAGAGATCAAGAACCTGGCGTTGGTATAGCTTATTTATAAAGTACAGCACAGCACATCTTGAAATGGAAAATATGTAGTTTTAAATCTTAAGCCCTTTATTTACTACAATGCAAAACATGTTATTTTTAGACATCAGTGGGTTTTGTTTTGTTGACATTTTCACGTATGCAGCTGAAAAGAAGTCAGGAAAATCACATGGTGACTAACAGTAACCTCTCAGGGTAGTAGCGCAAGTATATAGACCATTCTTCATTTGGACTAGTGTTAAATCGACAGCTCGGTAAAGGCTTTCCTTCTGTGTAATAATTACGACATGTTAACAGTCACCAAATAGCAATGAACTGGGGATCCTCTATAAATAAAGACTTTCACTTTATAAATGGAACAGCCACAATATGGGGATGGCTTACAGCGACTCATCAGATTTGCCCACCCTAAATTGTTCTGAGATTCAGAGAAATGGATAGCTTTTCTTATGTTGTGCAAGTTTCTCCAAATATTTGCTCATGCCCAATAAAACTAACATGTCGCCCAGACATCCCTAATCTCTATGTGTGACATACAAGTGGATGCATCCATCATACACACACGTATACAATCAGGAGACTCCAGGAATATACAAAGATGGTAAGAAACCATTTGATTCTTTGGTTATGCTCCAGCAACAAATATCTATTTCTTGGCAACCCGCCAATCAGTGTGGGAAATCATACCGGATCATGACCCAATAACGTCTAAGAAACTACGCCTTGCTTTCCACGCACCATTAGGGCCTGTCCCCAATCAGCAGCCGTCTCTTTCCGGAAACATTCCTTTCTCTGCAATCGCAAAACACCCCTAGACAGAGCTGCCCTTCTCCAGAGAAATGCACTTCTCACTCAACTGCAAATCCTGATTCAAAGCTAAAATTAATGCAGGCAGGCAATTGAGGGGTTTGTTTTTTTTAGAAAAACTTCCTTCTAAATGACAACGTATGTGATGTTAAAGCCATCCAAGATGTCCGCATGCTGCCTTATTAAATTAAAAACACCTGGTTTATTTATACAATGTGTCCAATGGCTTACAGATTACGATTCTAGAAACAATACATGTCTTATAGCAAAAAATATACATATAATAATCCACCTGTAGTTTATATAAATGACAAAATGTTTCTGAATATATCTCTATATCTATATATGTACACGTATATACTCTGTGTGTGCACAGGAGGGCACACGAACATGGCAGTCCCTCACTGGCCCTTCCACGCCAGTGTCAAGGGCACCAGGTTTCAAAGTCTTTAGCTGCTGAACAGAGGTCACCGCTGAGGACAAAGGACTGGCTTGATGCACCTTCCCCGGTGAAGGACCAGGTTGGCGGGACAGTGGCAGCCCGCAACGCACGGCTTATTGCACGGACCAATCTCATTCCAGTTGTCACAGGTCTTGGCACACCCTGGGCCGCAGGTGTCGTACACAGCCCCGTGCTTACACTGGGTGGCTGGAAGAAAGGAGGAGACCAAGGTGAGATGCGGAGAAACGGCCTCATCAGTTCACCCACAGCCTGATGCCATCCTGCAGGCTTATGTCACCCACGGCCCAGGCCTTTCCACAACACGGGTCACTTCTGTATTTTAAGGATCTCTATTGTTGAAAGTAATGCAGGTGTCTCCTTTTAGCCCTTGTTCACCCCTTCTAACCTGCCCCTCCCCACAGGCCTTCACCACACTACTGTCTGTGTCCATGGGTCATGCATATATGCATATAAATTCTTTGGTTAATCTCTTTTCACTCCCTCCACCCACCCCTAACTCCCCCTCCCCCGAGATCCATACTTTTGCATTTTAACCAAGGAATAATAAACACCTATCATTTCACATACACCCTGGGATCACCTGCACCTAAAAAAATAACATCAAAGATCCAGCTGCTGGGCTTCACCAGTGAACTTCAAAATAAAATAAAATGAAAGCTTTTTATTCCAAGATAAGACAAACTATACATTAGTAAAGCTATAAGAAAATCTATAAGGTCATTTAGTTATTGATAATACTGTGAAAAATGAACTCCAAAGAATCCTTCAAGCAACTGAGCTGTGATGAATACAAACATTTTGTGCAAACACACCAATATTCAAATAAATACAATTACACAACAGGAAAAAAACTAACACAGATATTGAAAATGTGTTCACATATTTTAATCACATTTTAATTATGTGTTGAATTAATCAATTTGAGGCAACTCAGAGCAAGAGTAAAGCTAAATATATCTGGTAATGGGATTACTATCCAGACTTTATAAAAAACTCATGCAGCTCAGCACCAAGAAAACAAACAATGCAATTAAGAACAGGGCAGAGGACCCAAACAGACACTTCTCCAAACAGGACACACAGATGGTCAAGAGACATATTAAAAGATGCTCAACATCACTAATCAGGGAAATGCAAATCAAAACCACAATGAAATACCAGCTCACAAATGTCAGAAAGGCTACCATCAATAAATCAACAAACAACAAGTGTTGGCGAGGTGTGGAGAAAAGGGAACCCTCATGCACTGTTGGTGGGAATGCAGACTGGTGCATTCACGACAGAAAACAGTATGGTGGTTCCTAGGAAAAAAACTGAAAATGGAATGGTCTTTTGACCTAGTGATTCCACTTCTGGGTACTCACCTGAAGAAACCCAAAATAACAATTCAAAGGGATATATGCACTCCGATATTCACTGCAACATTATTTACAATAGCTAAGCTGTGAAAGCAACCCAAGTACCCATCAGTAGGTGAGTGGATTAAAAAGCTGTGGTAAATGGATTACTCGAACATAAAAAAGAATGAAATCTTTCTATTTGTGACAGCATGGAAGGACCGAGAGGGTATTGTGCTAAGTGAAATAAGTCAGACAGAGAAAGCCAAATGTCATATGATTCCACTTACAGGTGGCATCTAAAAAGCAAAATAAATGACCAAACAAATAGAAACAGACTCATAGATACAGAGAATAAGACTGATGGTTGCCAGAGTAGAGTGAGGTTAAGGGGCTGGTTGAGAAAGGTGAAGGAATTAAGAACTACAAATTGGTAGTTACAAAATAGTCCCAGGGATGAAAATTACAGCATAGGAAATATCGTTAATAATACTGTAGTAACTATACTGCCAGCTGGGTACCTGAAGTATCGGGGAGGGAATTTTGTAAAGTATGATTGTCTAATGGCTATCCTGTACACCTGGAACTAATGCAAAATAATACCGAATGTAAACTGTAATTTAAAATAAAATGTATCAAAAGAATAAAGCCAGATAGGGGGAAATCAGATATGCCACAAGGTAATAAAAATGCCAGCGTAGTCCTGGGGGCTACGAGGTACTTAGAAAATGGTAACTCGCATACTGCATTGTATTTGGTAATTCACATGCTACACTGGAGTCCCATTGGTCCTTCCTCCCACAGCTAGTGGCCATGTGCTTTGGGTTGGTAGTCACGAAACTGTCAAAATCCAGGCTACACTTGGAAAGTCCCTCATTCATTCAGAGTTTCAAGCCTGGCTGGCTTCTTATTTGTTCAACTTCCAGCCTTTTACTCTGGAAAATTTCCCTTCTCTTGGAGCTAAAAACAAGGCAAGAGTGTTCTTGTAGTCTTCAGAATTCCAGATGAGTCTACTGAGGGATCCTGCATGTCTCTGTAAATTTCTCATGTACTCACTGTCAATCTGCAGAAGTTCGCTGTGTGTGTATGAATCTGTGGAAGTTCAGTGTGTGTATGTGTGTGTGTGTGTGTGTCAGTGTGCAGAAGTTCATTGTGTGTGTGTGTGTGTAAATCTGTGGAAGTTCATTGTGTGTGGGTGTCTCAATGTGTGTGTGTGTGTGAATCTGCAGAAATTCAGTGTGTGTGTGTGTGTGTGTGTGTGCGTGTATCTGCATGAATTTTGTGTGTGTGTGTGTGTGTGTGTGTGAATCTGCAGAAATTCAGTGTGTGTGTGTGGAAGGCTCCCCTGCAGCAGCACACTGATGGAGTTATACTTCACTCAGATGGCTCCATAATTGTAAGTGGTAAATGAAACCTTTCAGGATCCATCTTCCTTTTCCATTAGAAAAGTAAATTTAGCTTCTGAGATTCAGCCCCTGAAATCAGGATGCTGACACGAAATGTGTAGCCTTCAAATGCAATGCGTGCGCTGAAACGGTGCTAACTATAGCTCTGGGCCAGGAAGGGTTCATAGATTCTGTATCTAATATGATCCTCACCGCAGCTAACAAATCCACCAAGTTCTGCTGAGCCCAGCATTACACCAGGCTGGGTGAGGGGGCTTGACTCCTTATCTTTTATTCATCCTCTGGTCGATTCGAGGGCAGGAGGACTCAACAGAGAGAAGGAGCATTCAGTAGGCGTATTCAAGATGTACTGAAGGGGCCCAGTACCTCAAAAACATTGCCCTTCTATGCTAACCCGCACTGAAGCTTCAGGGGAGAGGTGAGCCAGTGGTCTCACCTCCGGGAGCCACTGCCACACCTCAGTGCGAGCTATTTTTCACCAAATCCACATTCCTCCAGATGCAAGCAGCACTGAGAGAGGTGCTAAGGCTGCGGGAAGTGAACTGAGACATAAAGACTGGACTTGGGTTTGCAGAGGAGGGAGCACATCCATAGGGGACGTCAGAGGAGATGAAAGGGCCTCAGTGCTTTGCAAGGACACAGACTAGTGACTGCGTCAGGGGCGGCTGGAGGAGGCTTTAGTAACCTCCAAATACCCTCCAGCTACTCCCCCAAAGCCACCCACCTCAGCATAAGCCGTCACATTGACTCAGTGGTTTCAGCTCTGGCTGCAGGTCAGAGCCACCTAAAAGGTTTTAAAGACACACAAGGCCAATTAAAGCAGGCTGTCTGGGCACGGGGCCCAGGCATAGGTTTCTAGGTTTGTGTTGCTTTTAAGCTTCCAAAGTGACTCCAAGGTGCAGCCAAACTGAGACCCACAGGCCTAAGTGAACAAGAGGTCTATACACTGAAAACACAGCTTCCAGACGATTCTTTCCTTCATCACACTGACCTTTCTTATCACTAAGAAAGCACCTTCTTCACACTAAGCAAGTACTTAGTGCAGGTTACCATTGTTGTCCGGTTCTCCCATGGCACTGCCAGCACCTCAATGACAGGGGGTCAGAGTCACCAAAGTACCCACAGTGCTTAGCATGGTGCCCAGTGCCCAGCCACGTTGTGGGAAGTATTTCTTGGATGAACAAAGATGTCCATTTCATCCATATCCAAGAAGCCAATGACCTTGCCTGAGATCAAAGAGCTGAAACAACTATTATAGAAACCTGCCTCGGCAAAGGGACCTTCTGCTAGGGTTTGCAGCACAATCTCTCTCTCTCAAGAAAAAAAATCACCGCTCTCCTAAGACCTGAGATGACTGCAGTTGTCCTGGGTCTGCTTTGCCCCACACAGACCCTAAGCAGAGCCGAGACTGGCCAAGTGCTAAGCACGTGCAGCTGGCAGCTGAGGCTGGGAGGTTGTGAAACAGGATTTGAAATCCTTTAATTGCTCAAATGTGCTCCTCACCAAGCATCTCTCTTGAGCGCTTTCTATCCCACCCCTCGTGGGAAGCCCAGTGTTTTGTCAAGTTGCCATCCAGCTGGGCCATTGCCGATTTCCCTTTGGCCCAGGGAGGATGTGGCCATTCACGCCTCCAAGTCTCCAAGTCTCCCCCATGGCTGGCCTGAGCGGGAGGTGAACTCTGCTGGGTGGGCTCGGACCCGCTCACCTGCACAACTCTGCTGGGGCTCCCAGTGGACGCCGACGCCCTCCCGCTGGCAGGCCCGGGTGTATGCCAGGAATGACTCGCAGTAGCAGTTCTTATGGACGGGACACTCACACATGTCAGTCACGCAGGACCTGCAGGGACCAAGAGAAAGAGAAACACTCAGGAATATCAGGCACCCTAAGCGGGACTTGCAGCGAGGGGTGAGGGGTGAGGGGGGAAGCGTGCCCGGCCACTCCAGGCGGCTGTTTCAGGTCGGACACCTAAAACTGCTGGGACAATTCCGCACGGAGCCTAGGCTGGCTCTCCCGGCAGCATGGCTGAGAGCCCCTTTCTCTCAGAGCAGGATGCTCCCCAGGGAAAGTCATGTCTGGCTTCTCCAGCGTCCAGAGCGGCAGCCGCTGTCTCCACCTGATGACCGCGCACTGGGCATGCATCGGGTGTGACCGAGGAACCGACCTGTTTTTTCTTTGTTTTACAGTCAAGTTGTTTAAAGTTAAATTATTAAATGTTTTTATTGCTGTCAGAGAGAGGAAGGGAGAGGGAGAGAGAGATAGAAACATCCATGATGAAAGAGAACCAGCCATCAGCTGCCTCTGGCACACCCCCCACTAGGGATGGAATCGACAACCTGGGCATGTGCTCTGACCGGAAATTGAACTGTGACCTCCTGGTTCATGGGTCAATGCTCAACCACTGAGCCAGGCTGGCTGGGCTACTTGGTTTAATTTTAATTAACTTAGATGTAAGTTGCTACGTGTGCCTAGGGGTTGTCATGTTGGAAATGCAACTCTTAGAATATAGCCGCCGTTCAAGGTGTTGTCCTTCGGTGACTAGCTCTGACACGGGAATGGTAGGCACTACTGAAATAGAACCGAAAAAGTGACCAGGGACAGAAGCACAAAATCCCACGGCAGTATCTTGATTCTTGGTCTCTTAAGAAACACTGAACTCCATTTTTAAGAAGGTGGTGTGACAAAGTCCTAAGAAAGCAAAACTTCCGGCCCCTCATGAGACTGGAAGGAAAAAGGACCGAGCCAAGGTCTCCTTAGCTTAACTTGAAATATGGAATCATGCAGCAGGACACAAAGAGAACAGAAATATATTTAAATGCAAAAGTAACAAGTTTTAAGACATGTTAACCTCAAAGACACACTAATAACCTGCCCTTGGCCTGTAACATGACAGTTCATGAGGTGCAGCCTGTCACTGTGAGGCAACAGGACATCGGGCAGTCTCTGTTGGTTAAAGGAAGAGGTCACTTCACCAGTGAGTAGATGTGCCCACAGGCACATGAACAAGTGGCAAAAGAGTGAACTGAATTCCACTTCCTAACTCTGAGCCTAGTGCTTCTGTTTCTTATCAGACTACACCACCGTCCTCAATCTTCACCTTCCAGCAAGTTCCCTGCCTAACAACTTTGACTCAGCATTTATGCAAGAGGCCTCTGGGATTAATAAAATCCACTACCCTTGTTTTGTCAGACTCCTTTTCAGCAAAACCTCTTCCTTACAGGACCGAATTCAAGATGACAAGGAGCACAGACGACCTTGAAAAGTGATCAGGACACACACGGTCACCCAGTGTTAACATGTCACCGTTTTTTCCTGGTGGGACATGTCTGCCCACCTGATCAGAGAGCGACCAGCCAGCTCTCCCGCCTGCTCCAAACAAGAATAGCAGAAACCATGTGAAAGGACCTTAGACTCACCAGGCACCCCCAGAGTTACTGAAGCCCAACACTCCAGGGCAGAGCCATGGGAAACGTGAACTACAGGGGCAAGGGAGGAGCAAACCTGAAACCCAAACAGCCTCTTCCACGTCACCAAGCGAGAGATGACGTGATGACACGGTGATCAGCACGGAAGCACTGATCTCTCTCCTCTCTGTAATCACCAAGGCTGCACTTCTTAATAGCGTCTCCCACTCATGTTACAGAAATCCTGCGAATTCATGTTCCCTGGTGAACCCTTTCTGGGACAAGACACACAGTGCTGTGTCTTTAAATCTATGTGGAACCTCCAGGCTTCCAGGAAAAGCCAAAGGAAGCCGGTCCTTAAAACGGCCTGATGCCTGGGAATGGACCCTCCTCACCACCATGCCCTGTGCTGTTTCCATTGTCATTTCCGACTAAACCTCGCCCATCACATGCAAGCTCAGACTCCACGGCGGCATTTGCAGCCGCCCCACCCCGGGACCTCCTGTCTAATCCCATTTCTACTTCCCTTCCCAGGAGGCACTTGTCACCCACCCTCCTTCCTGACCCTTGGGGTGGGGGTGCCTTTCCCTTGTCCACAAACCCTTGAGGTACAGTGATGGAAGGGCACCACATGGTTCTGGAAAAAGGACAGGATTTGTATGGAAAAGAGCTGGTCTCCACAGGAGCAAATGCATCCTCTGATTTGGAAAACCACCCATTGTGGTTCTGTAGAGGCTTGTGGACAGGAAACAGATTCAGTTTCATTTTTTGGGGTGGAAGGACTGTTGGTGCATGCTTCCCTTCTTCCCTCTTTGTTCCCACTGGGTTGTCTTAGGAAGCTGTTTATTCAGGTTACGCTAAAGTGTGGGCAGCTAACTCCCATTCCCGGAGACTGTGAGAGAACATGGCTTAGGCACACATTTAATAACCACCCCGTACAGACACCCCAGCCCATCCACGGCTCCTCACACACAATTGCTAATGTGTCTGCCCTTGACAATGAAGACTAGATGGGAGCTGACTGGATACTTGGCACTCATGAGGGACAACATCTGAGGCCAAAAACGTTTGTCAAAGCCAACCCTTCGCTCGAAACATTTCACACATTTTAGAGGGTTTGGAAGATGTATTTTATCACAGAAGACATCTACTGTAGCTCCCAGAAAAGCTGACCTCACGTCATCCAGCCACGGGCTCTTCCACAGAACGGCAAGCAGGAGGGAGGGCAGCACCCCATCCGCAGCCAGAGGCCGCTGCCCAGGAAGAGCCTGTGGCTGGATGACGTGAGGTCAGCTTTTCTGGGAGCTACAGTAGAATCAGGGCTGGAAGGTGATTCTTTTTTCACTTGTCAGGTTGACAATTTTTACACAAAATTGTGCCCAGGGTCTGGGAAAGAAGGTGGAAATTGACAGTCCGAACCCTGCTGGCAGCAGGGCGACCCTGTGCGCTCTCAGGCCAAGTCCCTTCTTCCTGGCTCCTGCCCGCTCCCTGCCTTTATTCTTGCACAGACCCTTTGCGTCCCAGTTGCTCCTTTCCCTGTTTGTGGGAGGATGAGGATGTACCCGGCTCACCCAGCCACACACGGCTCAGTAAAGTCATGGCGCATTGCCAGGAGACCGGGCGCAGCGGCCTAGTGACCGGTCCTCGCATCCTCAGGCTGGAACGCTGGGCACAGATGTCCTTGCCTGGATGCCCTGGCGGCTGCCCAACACGACCATGGCCCTGGGCGCTGCCGGCCGCAGCCACCTCTGAACTAAGCCGCTTCTCCCAGGGCCTCCTACTGCCAGGCTCACTCTGAACTTCTTGTCCTGCTCTCCTGAGTCCAAGGGGATCTACGGTTTTTCATTTAATGGTGGAAAAAAGGACTGGATGCGAGAGTTCTGCTCTCATGACGTATTTTCAGAAAAGTGCATTCAATATTGTCAGAATAACCTATAGATCTCCCTGTTATTAAAAAGGCAAGCCTCCAAAGCTGCTAAAATCAAAACATCCAACATCTCTCGGCTGCCTAGCAACAGCATACCGGGTGGTTTTGCCTCTGCTTTTTCTGGCACAAGGGCCACCCTGTCGGGGAGAGGCGAGCACTCATGCCTTGGATACCCAGGCACAGTCTGAACCGTTGGGAACTCTCCACGCTGCTTCTGAGAGAACAGAAAGGCAAGCAGGAGGGAGGGCAGCACCCTGTCCACAGCCAGAGGCCGCTGCCCAGGAAGAGCCCGTGGCTGGATGACGTGAGTCAGCTTTTCTGGGAGCTACAGTAGAATCGGGGCTGGAAGGCGACACATGATCCCTGGCTGTCCTTATTGCGTGTTCCAGCGAAGTTCACAGACCCGAGTGAAGGTACCTCAGGCCTGTCAGCACCTGGCATAGGTGGGGGAGGAGGGGGAGGGCTGGGGAGGCAGACTCCCACCTGGGTGGACACAGTGTGTTTAACCTCCAAGAGACTATCAAAACATTCACTTATACTTTAACCCTTGACATTCTGCCCTGCCCTCCCTCACCTGAGTTGCACGGAAGTAACTAGAGGGAGTAAGCACAGGAAGAAGGCATATCCATGTCACATGATCCCTCGGAGCATCACTTCATCCCTAACTCAGCAGTGGCTACCTCTGCCTTCTCCTCAGTATCCTGTGGGCACCCTCCAGGCACCGGAAACAGTGCTCCTGCAGCACTAAAAACAGGGCTGAAGATTCAATGCTGGGAAACAGGGGGTCGCTTCATTGAGTTGTTAATGAAGGGGGAGCAAGCCGCCAGAGCCCCAGCAGGGAGTCCCTGCTGCTCCTTCCAGACCCTTCCTGGGCCAGCCAGCTCGGCACCTCTGGGGCTTACATGTTGGTGAGAATATTCAATAGCAAGTCTTGGCTTAGTCTTGGTCCTATGGCTGCCAGGGCTGCTGGGACAGCACAGCAAGGCCAGGCTGCTGGTGGGCTTGTCCCTTTCACACACTCCACCCGAGGCAGCCGGGTCTCTGGCTGTGAATCCCGAGGCTACCTGCAGCCCCGCCTCACCGAACGCCCCGCACACACATGCCAGGCCTCCCACGGGCCAAGAATGCGGTCACTGAGCTCTGGTGTTCCAGGCTCTAAGCGAGGCTCCGAGATGCACGAGTGGGACCCACCGAAAAGGGAGAGTGTGCGGACCCCAAAAGCCAGAGCCCAAATGACCGAAGGGCTGTTATGGGCAGGGAGCCAACGCGATAGATCCTGAGGACCAATTCCATGCGGGCGGGCCAGGGTGACTGTCCAGAAGGAATCACAGAGTGGGAGACATGGGCGCTGGGTCTCCAAGCGTGGTGGGCGGTCAGTTAGACAGGCATGGGCACAGCAAGGATGAAGGTCACCAGGGCGGAAAGCCCCAGGTACCTAGCAACCAATCAATGTTCAATGTGTCTCTCACATGGATGTTTCTCCCTCCCTCCCTTCTTCCCTCCACGCT